ATTTATAATTTTAATAAATGAACTTTCAACTTTGTATGTCCGGTCAGGCGATGTTGAGCTCGAAATATTTAACGTTTACATACTCCCTGTCACCAGCTGCCCGGCAGGATATCACCCTGAAATAGGTGCGCTACTCAGAGTTGAAAACCGTATGGTAGTTGGTGACTTTAACGCACACCACGATCTTTGGCACTCAAGCCTGTCAAATGATCGTAGGGGAATACATCTTGCTGAGCAGATAGACGATTGGACATTCTGCACAATGAACCAGGATTATTTTACACAGGGAGCCACAGATGTGGCCATCCCAGCGGGCAGCTGCTCGCGGAAGAGCCCTCGCCACGTCACGTCAGGAGGCATCTTTACGAACTGACAGACGAAGTCCAGAGGTTTATCAAACAACCTCTGGACCCGTCAACCTACCGACAGGCCCTGAACGACATTCACAGGACTCTCGCCCTGTGAATGCCGTCCTAGGCACACAACCACCGGACGTGGACGGGACAGAACTTTGTCTGCCTCGGGAGACCCGCACTACAAGAGCCCAACTTCGCTCTGGCTATTGCAGCAGGCTCAATTCCTACTTGAGTAGAATCAACGGGGATGTGCATAACCAATGCCCGGCATGTGGAGAGTCGCCGCATGACTCCCGGCACCTCTTCACATGCCCTGAGAAACCCCACTCAGTTAACGTTCCTGTCCCTATGGACAGCGCCTGTGGAAGTCGCACACTTCCTGGGCCTCCCCCTAGCTGAAATTGACGACAACGTTGATGGATGAACCGCCCCGAACGGGGCTTGGTAGCCGCTACAACAACAACAACAGAGAGATAACCATGGTAAACAACTTGGCCAGAATTGCTGTATTAGTGTCCAAAGGAGCATATTTTTCGCTTTTTTAATTATCGTTATGGTAGGAGGGGACATGCGATGAACTATGTACACATGCATAACTTAGCCAGGGCCGGATTTACAATTTTGAGTCAATGGGACCAATAGTTGGTGGGAGCCCTCCAAATTTGTTTAATTGTTAAAATCTTGGAAAAAAGATTCATATAATTATTAGGGCTGCTCAGGATCTTGCATTTGCATATTCGTTGCATTTGTAAAGTCACGACAATAAACCATGAGCGGTTGCCATGGCAGCAAGAATAAAATTTGCAAATGCCATTGAATTTAGAACGTTCCAATTAATTGAGTTCAACTTTGAAAATCCTTGCTCAAAATTTACGACATGAACTACGTAATTTGAACCCAGCTTATTTTTTTGTTTTCTATTTCTTGTTTA